TTCTTTTTAGCCTCAGGAGGTCTGCTAGATCCCTGGAGACCCAGGGGGGCTGCTGTGCCCTTCTGCTGCCTTTCCTCTGAGATGGAATAGAATTGCCTTGTGCATTGAGGCTCGCTCCCTTGAGGAGCAACCACTCTTCCTGGACTCCCCTCCCCCCTGGGGGCATGGTCCCTTAGGGCCTCACTGACAAGCCTCCTGAGCTAGTCAGAGTCAGCTTTCCTGAAGTCAAGGACTTCTGTGTTGCTGACTGACTTGCCAGCTTTATATTTTACAGTAATTAGTTATCTGTTTAAAAAAAAGAAAAATTTGAAGCAGTTAGTAAAATTCTGCTTTCCCACCTCCACAGTGAAGCACCTTCATGACTAGGCCATAGTTTTTCTTACTTGCCCTCCTTCTTGCCCCATGAATTTCACAGCCCAGTAGCTCACTTTGAGTAGGAGGGGTAGAGCGTGCCATCATCTAGCTTGCTCTGTAGCCTGGTCATTGGGATACTCTTAAGAGGTAGGAGATGTGGGTTTTAATTCTGTCAGACCTAGAATCTACACATCCTGCTTCCTGGCTAAGTGCTCTAGCCCAGTGGTTCTCAAACTTTTTTTTTTGTGGACCATTTGAAAGTTGCTGAGGGTCTCAGTGGACCACTTTAATAAACTTTTTTGTTCTACAAATCAAAGCAAACAACTCATATTTTAATATCAGCAGTCTTACCTTACAAGTACAGATATTCTCAATCGTTCTGCAAACTTTCTGAGGACCACCTAAATGAAGCTCCATGGACCACAGTTTGAGAACCTCTGCTCTGGCCACTAGGTTGTTTCTGCCAAAAATGGACACCACCACATCCATTGGGCACCTCCCCTCTATGTGCTTTGCATCACAAGACGATGGCAGCACTTTATGGGCAGTCCTGAGTCTGCTTCCTAACCTCTGGAAAAGGGTAGAGGTCATGCATGATTTTGTCCTAGTATTTCCTGTTGTCTAGTTCTGTGCATTTCCCTGATAAGCACCTGGGTGCTCTTGTTAAATCTTTGAAGATGTTAAACTCTTTGTTGACCCTATAGGGAACATAGGTGCCTCACCCTCTTGATTTGGATCAGTTTTATGGAGCAGGATGCCTATATTTTGGGCGTTTTAAAACCTAAGTGGAAGTGTCTACAAGGCCAAGCTAGGTCTGTCCCTTAGGCCCCCCTCTATATGTGCACGTAAATGTGCGATGGGATCTAACGTGCAATTCACATGTACATAGCAGAAAGCGCAATTATGGGATCAAGCATTAGCTCCGATTGTACCTTATTGCCGGTGCAACGAGGAGCCTGATCTTAACTCAGCTTAAAAATGCAGTCATGGGCAAGAAGGAAGTTCCTGTGTCTTGGAGCCCCATGCACCCTTGGGGTAGAGGGATTGCCCCACATGGTGATCCTCCTACCCGAGGAGTTTTTTGCAAGGCATTCTGTGGGCACCCAGCATCTGCAGCTGTGGGACTCTAGGTCCGAGCAGCTGCATGGTGCTGCCAGGACTTGCAACCCTGGCTGGGCACCCCTGCAGCTGGGAGCCCTGTCAGTACTTTGGATGTGTAGTTGGTTTCAAGGTAATTGCGCAGTTAACTTGTGCGATACCTATAACATGTAGAGGGGGCCTTAGTTTTTCTGAGCTTTGAATTTCCCATTTGTAAAATGGAGATAACAACACTTTTTCCTAGTTTAATATATCCTCACACTGTGTATTAGAGCTGATACGGTGCCCAGAGACTAAGCTTATAAACACATCTATGTAAACTTAAGTGGACATATGCTCTAAAGCAGTGGTTCTTGATCATTTTTAGACCTAGTGTATTCTTCATTATACTCAAGGCATCCCTCTATAATTTTTTTGTTAATTGAGTGGCACCCCATTTAAAAATGTATTTATTATAGTGTTTACCTCCTTGCAGTGGGGGCAGGGAATCTACAAGGCAGGGAAGGGCCTGAGCTAGCAGTTACCTGCTTATCTCCTCACTCTGGGGCACCGTTCAAAGAATCTTGTGGCACACCCGGGTGCCTCAACACCCTGGTTTGAGAATCACTGCTCTAGAAAAAGAGGTCTAGACTTTCAGACTAGGCAGAAGGGATATGGGTTGTAGCTGTATTGATCTACAGGCAAAAGGAATCAGAACTCATAGTTTCATAGTTTGTAGGGTCAGAAGGGACCTGAGCAGATCATCAAGTCCGACCCCCTGCCATGGCAGGAAAGAGTACTGGGGTCAAACGACTCCAGCAAGGTGTTTGTCTAGCCTTGTCTTAAAGACCCCCAAGGTAGAAGCCAGCACCACTTCACTTGGAAGTTGGCTCCAGATCCTAGCCGCCCTGACCATGAAGTAGCACCTCCTGATGTCTAATCTGAATCTACCCTCTGCAAGCTTGTGACCGTTATTTCTAGTCACTCCTGGTAGCGCTTGGGGGAACAGGGACTCCCCCAATGCCTGCTGGTCCCCTCTGACTAGTTTGTAACAGGCCACTAGATCCCCTATCAGCCTTCTCTTGTGGAGGCTGAATAGGTTCAGGTCCCTTAGCCTCTCCTTGTAGGGCCTGCCCTGCTGCCCCCTGATCATGCGAGTGGCCGTCCTCTGGACCCTCTCCATGTTGTCCACATGCCTCTTGAAGTGTGGCGCCCAGAACTGGACACAGTACTCCAGCTGCAGCCTGACCAGTGCCGCATAGAGGGGGAGGATCACCTCCTTGGACCTGCTTGAGATGCATCTGTGGATGCATGACAAGGTATGGTTGGCCTTCCTGACTGCATCCCCACACTAATGGCCCATGTTTATCTTGGCATCAATGATGACTCCAACATCCTTTTCTGCCTCTGCACTAACGAGAAGGGAGTTCCTTAGCCTGTAGGTATGGTGCTGGTTCTTCCTCCCCAGCTGCATCACCTTGCACTTGTCTGTGTTGAATCCCATTCTATTCTTATCCGCCCACCCCTGTAACCTGTCTAGGGCTGATTGCAGCCTATTCCTCCCTTGTAGCAAGCCCACATCCCCCCACATCTTAGTGTCATCAGCAAATTTGAACAGGGTGCTTTTTACCCCCTCGTCCAAGTCACCGATAAAGATGTTGAACAGTGCGGGCCCGAGGACCGAGCCCTGCAGAACCCCACTGCCCGCATCCCTCCAGATAGAAAATGACCCATCCACCAACTCGTGGGAGAGGTGATATCTAATTGATCTAATAACAGATATTTGCAAAAAAAAATTCTTTATTTACAACCTTTCGAGCACATTCACCCTTCTTCAGTCATAGGAGAATGTAAAGATTGTAAAATTTATCCTAGGTGGAAATGAAAGCTCATATTTCATAGGAGAGCAGAAGGTGTCATAAGATCTTCTGGTTGGAATAGGCTGAATTTACATTTCTATCTAGGAGAAATTTTACAATCTTCTCCTATGCCTGAAGAAGGGCGTGCGCACCTGTAAGCTTTCAAATAAATAATTTTTTTGTAAATATCTAGCTAGACTGGGTAGAAGGGATTTTTCTGAGATAGATTTGTATGTTGCTTCCTCAGCAAAAATATATGAAATTTTCAATTGGCTTTTAATTAAAAAGAAGGGGGGGCCGGGGGAAGTGATATCCTTATATGATCTCAACTTAAAAATCTTGGGTTCTTTGACTGATGAGAACATCAGGTTTGTAGATGACTGGAACTGGCTTTTCCATGTAAATGATGTGAACTACAGTCACTTTCTGTAAACAGCATATATATACTTTGCTGTGTTGGAGCCCATATATATTGAAATTTCATTGACCTTGAATGGTTGATTTATCCCAGAATATTGAAAAATAGACTGCTGGGACTGTTCATGTCCTTTTCAGAAGTTGAATCATTATCCAAACTGTTCCCTTTTCCTTCAAGAATTAACCAGCACACCACCAGACAGTCCAGCTTCCTTTGGCATTATGGGCTAGATGTATTTGCAGCATATTAAAGAGAGAGGGAGCACATTTCAGAAACGCCATTCTCTGATTTATCTTTTAGGTGTTGTCTAGAGCCTTCAGGAATCGTTTTGTGGAGCTTCATTTTGATGAACTTCCAAGTGGTGAACTGGAAACCATCCTGCACAAGCGATGCAGTCTGCCACCTTCTTACTGCAGTAAACTTGTCAAAGTCATGCTAGATCTACAGGTACAGAAACTTTGTTTTTTAAACAGAAAAGTCTATATAAATGTTGTTCAGATCTGTAAATAAAAGGAACCAAGAGCCCTTCAATAGGAAAATGGCACCAACACAAATATTTTAAATAGTAACATGATCCCTGGGTAAGAATACTGCAGCTAGATGATTTAAACCTATAGAAAATAGGAGAAGTAATAGCTGTTGTTTTGAGGCATTGGGAGTGTTTTCTTGGGTGGTATCTTGCTGCTGTCTCTTGCTGTTTGGGGTCTTTGTGTTTAGTTTTTGTGCTGTGTTTGGAATACAGTAAGACTGAAAACTCTAAACAGCTGGGTTTTTTAGCAAGAAACCTAAAATCTTTCTTTTTATTCCAATTAATAAATAAGAGGTGACACTCAGGTGAGGAGTATGAATCTACTAAGTTCTGATTATGGTGATTTGTTAGGAAGTGTAGTATCATATTGACATTGTTTTAGGGATTTTGCTTTTTAAATATTTGGTTTCTGAAAAATGTATGATCTTGTTCTGTCTCTTCCTCTGGTAGTCTTATCGCAGAGGGTCAACAGTGTTTGCTGGGAAGCATGGCTACATTACTCTTCGGGACTTGTTTCGTTGGGCTGAAAGATACAGAATGGCAGAACAGACAGAGAAGGATTATGACTGGCTTCAACATCTGGCAAATGATGGTGTGTCTCTGTCTCTGTTCTTGATGGTACCACTGCCGTTTTTAGGAAATATCTATAACTTTTTCTTCCTGATTCCTGTTTTTGCCCCCGGTTACTTGAGCAGTAACATTTCACTTTAAAAAGAGAAAGTGACTATACTGATTTCTCTTGTCTTATTTACAGGTTTTATGCTTCTGGCAGGCAGAGTCAGGAAACAGGAGGAGGCAGATGTTATTCAAAGTGTTCTTGAAAAACATTTTAAGAAGAAATTGTATCCCTACTCTCTCTTCTCAGAGGAAAGTGTTAGGAAGCTATTAGGTGAGTTTTCAAAAAGAACTAAATCAGGAACTTTACATGCATGATCAGAGCTAATAATTTCCTCTGTGTTGTGCAGCTAAATCATCTACACAGATGTCTCTGGTTAGGGAGTTTGGCCATATTGTCTGGACTCAAGGGATGAGGAGGCTTGCGGTTCTGGTGGGGCGAGCCCTGGAGTTTGGTGAACCAGTTCTTCTGGTGGGAGAAACTGGGTAACCTATTTTTATTATTACATTAATGAATTGTTCTATATGTTTTTGTTACAGATAATTACCAGATTTACCCAAATCCAAGATAGTTTTGAATGTAAGGTGACTCTCGCCTCTGCACTGCCTTCCCCCAGTAACTAGATTGTAGGCTTGGAAAATTTATAAATTTGTTCTAATTTTCCATAGATAGAACCTAATTTTAGAAGGTAGTCTTGCCCTCCACTACTGCAGTCGGACAAGCAGCAGCCAGGGGGACAGGTGACAAGGGAATGAAGTAGTCTAGCTCCTGCCCTTTCATACCTCCCCCTTACCCCCAACTTGCTCCCCTGGTACTTGCATCCTGTGTGCCTGCTCTCCCTCCCCCCTACACAGTGCCTGTACTCCCTGGCACCTGCCCCACATGCCACCACCCTTTACTGCTGTTGCTGTTTACTGTCCTATCACAGTTTTGCCTGCTGCTCTGAGGCCCTATCAGCACAGAACAAGGAGCACAGAGCACATGCTGCTTCCAGCACTTGCCCAAGCACTCAGCAGTGGCAGTAGCTTCTCTGGGACCAGAGCTGCCACACTGGAACCACTGTTGCCTGGTTGGGCAGGCGCTGTAGGAAGCATGTGCTCCTTGCCCTGAGCTGGAATGTGTGACCCCAGCCACAGCTGGAGCTGCAATGGGAAGGTAGGCAGCAGCAGGGGAGGGGAAGGGTGTGTGCATTGACTCGGACCCTGGGTTCTACATCAGAATTGATGTTGCAGCTGCTGCCAACCCCTGCCCAACCCCCCATACTTGAATCTAAGACCAGGGGTATTTTTCCCCCATTGAATAAACACAGAAACTACACGCGTAGCTTCAGCTGACTCCATTCCTTTCTTTGTGTGTTACAGATGTGGTAAAACTACTATTTGCCAGATATTTGCAGCATTAGCAAATCAGAAGTTATACTCTGTGAACTGCCACTTGCATATGGAAACATCAGACTTCCTGGGGGGACTACGGCCGGTCAGGCAGAGGTCAAATGACAAGGTCTGTCTCATAACAAGGGGTTCTTGCTGTCACTCAGCTTTAGTATCATTGAGGGAGCATGAACTGAGAAATGGGTTTTGAGATTCCTTTCCATCTCCATTGCCTAGGAGGAACCTGGCAGTTCTAGGCTCTTTGAGTGGCATGATGGACCTCTTGTATTGGCAATGAGGGAAGATGGATTTTTCCTCCTTGATGAGATTTCTTTAGCGGATGATTCTGTCTTGGAGAGACTTAACAGGTATGTATGGTAAAAATGTGCTGCTTGGATATGGCTGCTCTTTGCAGACATGAAATGGACAAATCTAGCTTCCTTCAGATGTTTCTAATTGTTTAGCTTATTAACTCCCTTCCCTTCTCTTAGTTGTTCAGTTTTTGATTAAATAAAAGTGAGTCAAAGTAACTCAGTGGTTCACTGGAGATTAAGGTGCTGTGACTGATGTCTTGTTAATTGCTGTAACTGTAGAAATCCTGTACTCTTTTACAACTTTTTCGTGTTTGAGAGGCTACTGGCAGGAGGGGATGACAGGGAGTGGGTATGATAGACAAATGGGCATTTACTGCAGTTACGTCACTACTGAGGCAATACTGGAAAAACTTTAAATATTCTGAAATAGAAATAGAAATGTGCAGATTGGTTCAAGTTTTGTGGAAATGGTTTGTATTTTGGGATTGTTTCTGTCCTGAGATATTTTGCAGCCATAGATATTTCTGTGCTTGACTTCTACTCCAACTGTAACAGTCACCTTTGACTGAGGGACAAGAGGATCCATTTCTGTAAACCGATGATGTCTTCAGAGAATACAGTTAAACTCAGTTCAGCTGAAACAATATGCAGTGGTACAATAGAGCAAGAATGGAAAATAGAATAATTTGCATAACATAAGTAAAATCTGCAATGAAGCCTGTAGGTAGCACTATAGCTTTTTATGTTTAAGTAAAGTTGATGAAAGCTGTACTTTCTCTAAGCTTCTGTAATGGAGTATTTTCAGTGAGAAACGCTGCATTCTTGGAAAATGCCACAAATTGTCAAGAACCAGGGAAAGAACTGGTTATTGTGTGTAAAACTGTTACAACTTGCTCTGTATGTTAGTGTTTGATTACTACATTACTGTCCATCTGATTACCAGACCTCTTGATGACCTGCAGTCACTTTCTCCACTGCCTTCAGGATTTCTATTTCATGCCAGTTCTTTCAGGGTTCTCTTCATGTCTTTGCAAATGGTTATTTCTTCAAGTTTACTTATTTCATTGGAAAGCTAGGAAAGTTTCATTTTGCAGTACAGGTCTTCTGACTGGCCACTTTAACTTGGATGCAGTCTTTCATTGCAAAGTTAATTTGAGCTTTCCATACTTACATATTCATAAATGTCTTCAGAAATGATAAAGAGAATGTATAATTCACATTTTATAGAAAACCATTTTATTGAAACCACTCCACATGTTTTTTATGTACGGCAAGAGAATTTCTGAATTGCCAGGTGTGGAGTTAAAATAAAACAAGTATATTTGAATATCACTTTTTTAAAAATTTCTCCTTAGTGTTCTTGAAGCTGAAAAGACATTGGTGCTTGCTGAGAAAGGTAGTCAAGAAGACGAGGATAATGAAGTAGAGCTACTGGCTGCAGGAAAGAAATTTCGTATCCTGGCAACAATGAATCCAGGTGGTGACTTTGGGAAAAAAGAGGTAACTGCTGAGGCTGCTAGAAATCTAATATGCATTTTGAATATGTTAATTCATAGAATCATAGAAATGTATGGCTGGAAGGGACCTGTAGAGGTCATCTAGTCCAGCTTGCTGCCTGAGGCAGTTCCAAACCATCCCATAGAAACCATAATGTGAACTGTGCATAAGACTACCCTCAATCCTGATACAGCATAGACCAGTGGTCAGCAACTAGTGGATCTTGATTCACCGGTAGATCTTGGAGCCTCTTAGCGTTGATCTGAGGCTGGGGTGGGGGCTGAGTGCCCACGTGTATGCATGCATGTGTGCATCCCAGCCCAGCAGGTCAGTCTGTGGGGGAGGGAAGGGGCGGAGGCTAGATCGAGGCCCCTGTGGTGAGGGACAGTGCCGCAGAAGTAGGAGCAGGGGTAAGTTGAGTGGGGCCCTGGCTTGGTGGGACTTACCTGCTCGGGAGGTGCACCCCCAAATAATTTTTTCTCCCTCTGCCTTGATGTGCTCCCCTCCCCCTTCTTTCCCCACAGACTTGCATGCTGGGCAGGGGGGTGGAGGGGAGGTGGCAGTGGCATACAGTAGATCTTGGGTTGCTTTTAAATGCTAAAGGTAATCTACTTAAAAGGGTTGGAGACCACTGACATAGACCGAACACCATAACCTGCCACAGATAAAGCAGGGGAACCACAGCAGCCAATATCCTGCTTCTATATACTTTCCTTCTTTATGGCAGCCCTTCAGGTTTTTTAAGACTGCTACCATGTCCCCTCTTAGCCTTTTCTCCAAGCTGAACATGCCTAGCTCCTTCCGCTTCTTCTTGTAAGACTTGCCTTCCAAAACCTTGATCATCTTTGTTGCTCACCTCTGAATCTTCTCCGTGTCCTTTTTAAAATGTGGAGCCCAGACTTGCATGCAGTATTCTAGGTGAGGTCTGACCAGAGCTGAGTAGAGAGGCACTATCACCTCCCACTTCTTGCACCCTAATGCTTCTATTGATGCAGCCCAAAACTGCATTTGCCCTTTGTGCAGCTGCATCACACTGCAGACTCATATTAAGTCTGCAGTCTTTTAAGACTGCCAAGTTCCTCTCTATAGTGCTGCCATTCAGCCAGGTGTCACCCATTTTTTATTTGTGTTTTTGATTTATTTTTCCCACAGTGGTAGCACCTTACATTTATCCACATTGAACTTCATCCTGTTAGCTCTAGCTCAACTTTCCAATCTGGCGAGATCCTTCTGAATTATGCTGTCATCCTCCAACATTTTTGCAGTCTTTTCCCATTTTTGTCTGCAAACTTGCTCAAGAAACTTTCTATGCCAACATCCAAATAGTTGATAAACATTGCTTAATGTAAAAATTTAGTGCCATATAGTTGTGATACTGTGTTGTTATATGCATGTAATTTGTTAGAAGTTCATATTGGAGTGGTTCATATTGGAGTCTGCCTTAAGGCTCTGAAAAAACCTCGGCTATCTTATCTTTCATCACTTGCAAGTACTGTCATCTCAATAATGTATGTGAATGCTGAGCACAATGATAATAGGGAAAAATTCAAACATTAAATCACATGAGCAGATATAATGTGAAAAATACTGCACCGATGACTTGTAACTCTTAGGAAAAAATATAGCCCCCATCCAATGCTGATTGTAAGATGTATGTGGAGCAGTGTAGAATTGATAGGACAGATGATGCTTCAAACAAACTGACAACAGAAGTTATCACATTGGGTTCTTCATTTTAAAAAAAAATCTAGACAAGCATTCCAGTTGGTTCTTATTAATTTAAAACTATAGTTCTCAAATAACCCATTAAGTTATACAAAAACTGTCTTTAAAGCTCCCTAAGGAAAGTCAGGTCTCCAGACTAATTTTTGTTTATTCCCAAAGATAGGGGAGTATTCATAGAATCATAGAAGTAGGGTTGGAAGGGACCTTATAGATCTTCAAGTCTGACCCCCTGCCTGGGCAAGAGAAAAAACTGGGCTCAAATGATCCCAGCTAGGTAGGCATCAAGCCTCCTCTTAAAGAC